TTTTAATGTATTTTTTATATAATTTTATATATTTTAAAAATAGTCCATATGGGTTTTATTTATTTAGTTGTTTTATTTTAGTGCTTCAAGTTTTGAAAAATTCCTGCGCAGGGAGGAGACACAGATGCAGACGCTTCCAGAAAGATAAACGATAAAGGACCTCTAGAGGGCTTTAATGAGCGGAGAGATGACATGCACAAAAAATTTTGTGTTTTGTAAATATATTGTATTATATTTCTACTTCAAATATTTACTGGAAAAATGATACTGCAGCTGCATACATGAAATGCATCAAACACTGTTTTTCTTTTCTTTTAATTTGTTACTTAATTTTATTTTATTACTGACCGTTTAGTTCAATAATTCAACAGCTCCATTCCAAATTAATTACATTATTTTTATGTTTTAATGTGTTAAACAGCACATCAAGTTTAGGGCATGAATAAGCAGTTTGATAACGAGCCTGTAAAACAGCCTGATGTTTGTTCAGTGTTGTAATAATCAGATGATAACGACTCTGTGAGACAATGATAATGATGCTGATGTCAGATTTTCAGATTTAGCTCATCACGGCAGCGTCTGATATGAATTAATGGATTAATTAGGATCAGTGAGGATATCTGGCAGCATCAGAGCAGCCGCTTCTTTAATTAATGATATTCAGAGTTTAATAAAGCTGTGAGTAACTGACGGTTCGTGTAATGAGAGCGAGATAGGAAACTCACCCGCAGCAATTACTAACGGTTAAAAACAGCAGCACCTCAAAAAGACCATTTCAACACATTTTTAATACAAAAAGGTTTATAATTCCCTGCAAAGTACAGTTCTTCCTCAGTATCTCCAGCACAAATATCTAATTATAAAACGGAGAGTTCCGGTGCTTGATTCTGATTGGCTGAGCCGCGTTCGAAGCTGTTGTAAATGACTCTACAAAGTAACATACACCTTTGTTTACGTTTGTGTGTTGCTCGGCAACCACTTTGTTGCAACCACAACTGTTTCTGAGGAGCTACATTGTTTGGTGGAAGAATACTGTTTTTATTAATATCATTACACTTTATTTGCTCTGTTTTATTTTGTGAAACCTTACTAGGTATATGGAATAACTGTTATATAAAAGCAATAACCCCCGTGAAGCCGTGGTTTACAGTGAATTTATAACAGCTAAGGACGCTTCGCGTCATGCCTAACACCACCCCTTAGCTGTTATAAATTCACTGTAAACCACGGCTTCTTGGGGCTTATTACTTTAACATTCTTAAATCAAGATGCATTTACTGGAGATGCACAATGACAGAAGATAAGAAGTCTTTAAGTGAAAATAAAGTGAGTTTATGTTTAAAACAAGAGCAAATTTCTGCAAATAGAGTTTGGAAAACAAGTAGATTTTTCTGACTCCACTGGCAAATAATTTTTCTTGTTTGAAGCATAAACTTCACTTGGACACTTCTTATATTCTGTCACTGTAAATGCATCTTGATTTATGAATGTTTAGATATCTGTACTGGAAACCGAGACAGAAATACTGAAGAAGAACGTCGGTTTCTTGTAAGGAATCAACAGAAGCACTCTAAGAAACATCAGTGCATCACTGTAAACAGCATTCGCATGAGTCAAAACAAGTGATTCTAAGAGCCTCTTCTAACTGCACACTCAAGCCATCTCTCAAACATCAACTTTACACAGCATGTTTTTACTGTCCGCGTCAGTAAATAAACAGATTAAAGCACTAAACATCCTTCTTCCCTCCGTCACAGACCCGTCTGCAGTGAGTTTGTGTGTTTCTGGAGCTTCATTTATCATCCATGAAGCTGTAAAGTGTGCCGTTTTGAGGATCTAGTGCACTACAGAGTGACCATGATCAAACCACGGACTACTACTGTGTGTCCATTATTCACAACGGCTGCCGTTATCAAATATTCATTCAATGAAAGCATTAATGAATTATTGAAGAAACAGAAGCAGCAGCGATGAGACCGGATGTTCTCAGGAATCACAGAAGAACTGGCTGTGATTTCTGTAGTTGTCGATCGATTATCGGCGCCGATATTAAAGAGCAGGTCACATGGGTTTTCGAAAAATATCTCTTTTGCAGTTTGTAAGGTAGCTATCCTTCAATGTTAACAATCTGCAAAGTTGTTAATCAAAAAAGTGCATGATAAATAAAGATATTGTCTCTCAAAAGAAAGAGTCGACTCAGAATCGCCTTAACGAGTTGTTATATTTTCGAATCTTCTGCCTGTTACCGATGTACGTCACCGGGTAACAAATTAGCATAATCCCGCCTGCCCACGAAATACGAACACTCTCAGTGTCGAGAAGATGCTGTGTTCCACAATACCACAGCAATACAATTCAAACCTTTTGTTGTGCTCGTCATTTTACTGAGAACTGCTTCTCTAATCTTGCCTTTTATCTTCGTTGGCTTCTAATCTTCTTAATTTGGACCAACAAGCGTCTCCGAACCACAACCTGTAAGTACGATTGATACGTTATGTGTACATTTTCAACTGAGTGCTCAAAATATCAAGTTTTTGTGCTAATATGTGATGTACACATTTCCAGGTAAAGCACAATATTACTGTTTTACTGAAATAGGTCTGATAATTTGCTGTGAACCCACTATTTCCTAAGATTAATGTAGACTGACGTTGTTCTAATTACTTCGTTTAATAATAAAGAATGTAGTGTAGCGCACAGACTTTATAATCATTGTGAAAATGCTGTTTATGTAGTTATAGGGTTTATGCAGCGAGTAAAAGACCCGGTAGAGAGAGACGAGTTAGTTAGGCTGGTGATCATGCATTATAATTAAAGGTTAAGACACGGAGCGTCTTTTGTCTGTCATTCTTCAGACATTACAGTAGACATATTTTGGTTTTCAAACTGTATTGTTTCATCAGTTAGTCACGTTAGCACTCGGCTAACGTATCCACCATTATTGTTTTGATAGTGTTTACATTTCATTATTTTAAGAACTGATTGGAGCACTATATTATTGTTTTATGTAAAGGTGCATGCTAGGGTTGCCAGGTTGTCACAACAAAACCCGCCCAATTGCTACTCAAAACTAGCCCAATTGTGTTTCGAGGGTGGTCCCCCTTTAAAAATCGCGTTCTGCAACACAGATGTTAGCTCTCGCTAACTTGCTCAAGCGCTCCTCTTTGTGCCAATCACAACAGGCTTGGCCAGCTGACCAATCAGAGCAGAGTAGGCTTATGGAAGGGAGGGGTTTACAGACATTTCACTCAGAACTGAATCGAACAAACCGTTTGGAAATCATGGACAAATGACTCTATGTATAAATGTATATTCTGGGAAAATTACAGTGTTTTCTGACCTTAGATGCATTTAAACCTGTTGTAGGGGACTCCAACACAATATTAGGACACTTTAAAAAAACAATTTGACCTGCTCTTTAAGCTTTTTATGGTTATCGGTATGGGTCATTTTCAAAACCGATTTGCTGATAAAATCATTTAAAAGCATTTAAAGAAAGTTTTTGTCAGAGCCCTTGTTATTCTTAATTTTGACATTCATTTTCATTTTTACACCAGACATATATATCAGTTCAAAATATCAGTTATCGGTCAAATTGATCTGTAATAATCGGTATCGTATCGGTCCTGAAACAACATATATCGGTCGATCCCTAGATTTCAGCATCACCTTCATCAGCACTGATTAATGTGACGCATTTTTACAATATATAATATAATTTAACAATATAAACCATTTTTAAATATATTATAGAACATACAAACCATTTTTTTAAATATACATTATAGGCCAATATAAAAAATTT